AGTGCTCGCCCCTGGCGAAAGCGCTACAGATGACGAAGTGCTCTTTGAGCGATGGGTGGAACGGCACCGCAAACTTTCCTCACTGTATAACCTGCAGGTGGGCCACAAGGAAGTGAACGTGCGTGTGGAGCGACACCTCCGATTTGAGTTTGCCAAACTCAAGGCACGCCGTCGACTTCCTTCCGATTGTCGCCCTGCGACGTATGGGTTTACCCTAATGCTCCCACGAGCTTTGTGTCTTCGACCGCGAGAGCTCAGGGCCACTGCTTTAGCTCAGCACATGGCCGGTCTACTTCCCTGGCTATTGCCGGGATGCGCGGGGCGTCTGATGACGCGGGACGTCCTGTTCTTTCCGATCAAAAGCGTCCACGGCGACTGGGCAACTTTGCCGAAGTGGCGCCTTAAACTCCCACGAGTTTTTGAAGTCGGGATATCCCCGCCACTTCACCAAATATTGGGTTTGACCCTGGTGACGACGTCGTCCAATAAGACGTTCCAAGTGATAGTGGACGTCACCGCTCTCATCGAGAAGAGTCGGTGGCGGGCGGTGACGACCGGGTCGACCGCCGTACGGTGACTCGTGATGCTCTTCGAGTCCTTGAGGATGAGATCCTTCGTGATCGGAGATTCGCTGTGCGGACGCTCTTGACGATTTGAAGCACGTCGTGCACCGGCTGCCTCACCTTGAGGACTACCGCGCTCTGTCGAAGCGACTCCTAACCGTGGAACAGGCGAATGCATCGCTGCATGCGACGGTGGAGCGGTTAGCGCCATTAGAAATGGAGGTTGTTGCACTCCGTGCTCAGGACCGTTGCTGGTCCAGCTTTTGGATGGCCGAGGACCCGTGGGATCCGCTCCGGCGCCAACGCTTCCGCGTTCACTTGCGCCGTATCCCGGTACAGCTTGAGCAAGCCCACGTAAAACACCGAGTGGTTGCGCATCCGTTTTGGGAGGTTCAGCGTATACGCCTGGCTCCGCTTGGCCACAACCTTAAACGGTCCAATGAACCGTGGACGAAGCTTCGTCCTGAAGATTGCAGAGGCTTCATGTGTTGGCAGGTTTTTAGAATTTAATAAAACCAGGTCCCCGACCTTAAAGCTTTCTACTTTGCCTCTACCTTTTTCATCTGCATATTCTTTCTGCAGGTCTTGGCTTTCAGCCATCGCATTGCGAACGTGTCGTAGGACACTCAGTCTGGTAGACAAGAAGTCATCGACTTCTTTGCGGATGGAAAGGGGGCTGATACAGCTAGCCGTTCGATTATTCCTCTCCACCAAATCCCTAGCCATGGGATGGCGGCGTCAGTGGGACGCGAGGGTGTACCAGCCCGTTTACGTAGAACAGCGTGTAGCCGGTTGGCGAATGCACTGCTTCGTTCAGTGCAAACACTACGAGTAGCAACATGGCGCTGTAGCGCCTCGGCGTCTCAGCGCAGACGCTGCGAAGAATGTCTTCGATGACGCGATTCACCTTTTCGGTTTGACCGTCGGCCTGCGGATGGTCTGCTGCCGACGTATCTAACTTGGTGCCGAGCACCTTGAAGATAGTCGACCATTATATTCCCGTGAAACGGGGGTCTCTATCAGCGACAATCGACTCTGGGAGTCCGTGTTGTCGAAAAATACGATCTACAAACAGCGTTGCTATACCGACTTCGTCGATGGTGTCTGGCACCGCCGCCAAATGAGCCATCTTACTCAACCGGTCGACGAATACCACGACACCCGTGTTGCCCGCCAAATCTTCCGGCAGGCCAAACACAAACTCCAAAA